TGCAGAATTTAGTTACACCATTTTATGTTATGCTCTTTAAAAAAAAATAGCATTTCATAAACACGTTCACATGGTTCCGTGGTCTTCATGACTATCTTTAATGACTCTATCAGCTATTTAATTAAGGTGTCACTGACCTACTTCATTATATAGCTTACCCCCACCCCTAGTTTTAGGAGATTTCAATGTTCTGACAAGCTTTTATGTGTCGTGGTTTTCTTTTTATTCATTTCTTCAGAATCAATTGCCGAGCCTGGAATTATTATATCAATTTATTGTTATTATTAGGTGCAAAATGTGCTTCTGACTATTTGGAATAACTCACTAGCCAAGGGTTAATCGATTCACAATGCTGACCAGAAACTGCGAGGAGCCTCCGGGTGACATTCCCCTACTGCTCTTCCTTGTTCCTGGGCTTCTCTCTGCACAGCAGAGTGCTTAAAAAACATCAAAATCGGAAATATTTAAAGTAAAGGATATAGTACAACTTTGACCTTTCATTTACCTAGAAAGTGAGTGGACCATCCCCCAGGCAGAACATGGTGGACAAATCAGGAGTGTCTGTGTCGAGAGCAGCATGGTCACGTTTCTTTGTCCTCACGGTCTTCCGGGAGCTGCCGCCCCTCACTGTGCAAAGCTCTGCAGCTTTCAGCAGCCGTGGGCCACGAACGGGCAGCCGAGGTGACTGTAGAATCCCCCACATGTACCAGAGGCATTAGGAAGCTCGAAAAACAGTGTAGGCGTCGAAAGAAATGACACACTTCCTCACTGAGTACCTTTTGGGAAATTATCAGACTATTGTTTTAAGATAACTTAAAAACAGAGGCTGGCCAAGAATGAACATGTTTCTAAAGGTTTGCTTCTCCTGGAGAGACCATTTTTCAGACTCACGTGGTTTTGGAATCCATGTCAAGGAAACTCCATCCATTAAAAAAGTGGGTAGGAAAAGGCAGCAAGAAAAAACACAAGAAGCGCTGAAGTGAGTGGGTGTGAAGTTGTCAAAATATTAAAGGAAAAGTTAAGCTGTTTTATTTGACGTCAGTGAAGAGAGTTACTTAGACATTCATTTAAGCAGGAAATATTGTGATTTTTGTAAAAATAACACCATCTGATCTTGACACTTTAGGGATGATATACTTTAGTAATACCATTGTCAAATTTTAAAATAGTTTGTGTCTGTAAAATGTAAGGAAGCTGTCTGGCTGTGTTGCAACCTAGAAAATAGTGTATTTGACTTCCAATATACTGGTGAGTACATTTTATTTTTATCTATGGGATTTGATGACTTTTTTTAATAAGCAGCCCGATGTGCCTCTTTTTACAACTGTTAGTTAAACCAATGAGATATATTCTGAATACAATACAAAACAAATTCCTATATTACTTAGTAGAAAGTATGCAACCACATGTAATAACCTACGTTCTTGGGAGTGCTGGGGTGTTAGGAGTTAGATTTGACCTTGATTTGGTTTCAGCTAAGTGGGACGTACCAGTGTTGTCAAAGGAAGGGACAGTCTGGCTGGAAGGAGAACAGAAGCCCATTGGAGATGTGACTGCAGAGGCAGGGTCCTCAGGATCAAGTGCCTCGTTGGGAAACCAACAAGCGCAGAGTTTCAAAACCAGTCTCATAAGTCCCATCATGCTCCGCCGTCAGCTCCAGCTCGGCGCAGCGGCTCAGATGGTGGCGCTGATGTGGGGAAGGCCAGACTGCTGCGAGTCAGGCAGGTGGGTTCTAGGCGGACTTTGTTTCGACCTTGAGCTAGTTTAAATAGCATTCTGCAGGTGTGAAGCTCGCGTTTGACTTTCCTGAGTTCGGGAACTGGGCGGAAGGGCCGCCTTTACAGCTCCCGCCGGCAGGCTTGCCAGCTGTCCGAACATTGCTCTCCTTTCTGGAGGTCAGAGATTTGCGCTGCTCATGCATTCGTGACCCACAGCTATACGGTCAGTTTGGAGGGTTCTGGAGTGTGGGGCACTCCTGTTGTTTAGACACTAAGCAGCACACAGCTAGGTGGCCACAGATTTGACCTCCCTTTGTGAACGGAGGCCCGAGAGCTCGATGGGCTTGAGCGATCGTGCCACTCTGGCCCCAGGCGCTGAGGCCTGCATGGCCGGGACTTTGGAAGCAGAGCAGATCCTTGAGCAGACCCATCATGTGGGGAGGAATGGCCTTGGCTCATTACAGCTCCCCTTGCTGCTTCCGTAGGTTGGGCATAAGCAATAAAACGTATCCATAAGCATGTAGTCAAGAGAATGCAGTGTTCTGTCGGTACCTGCATATCCTCATGTAAGTTTCTGTGGGTTATCTTAGAGGAGGGAGTTGGTGCCCATCTGCCCCAGAAGCTGCTGTCTGGAGAGGGAAGTCCCTAGGGTGGGTAGGGCGTGTTCAGGGCACTTGTGGGTGGCAGACAGCTTGCCAGGATGCAGGGTCTGACTATGGGTAGACTCTGCGCACAGGACCAGTGGGGTGCAGCCTCCTTGGGAGATGTGTTTGGTGGTCGGCATTCCAGAGTGGACCAGAGGGCGAACCTACCAGCTCATCCAAGAGGAGATGGCGGGCGGGCAGAGAGCAGACCAGGACCAGCTCAGAGTTAGGAATTTCTTCTTGCTTTGTAAAAGCAAACCAGGAACACCTACAACACTAAACAGCACTAAAAAAGGAGGCACCGAAAACCTAGTCTGTGTTCAGTTCCCTGCTGTTTTTAGTCACATTGATGCATTTAGCAGTGAGTCTGCACATAGGCGTGGTGTGTTTCCTAAGCCTCTTTAATTAGATTCCTCCTCCATCTCTATTTTTTCCCCTTCACAAATTATTAGTAGAGAAACTAGGTCATTTGTCTCGGGGCTGCCCTGCAATCTTGGCTTCACTGAGTACACCTAGTGGAGAGCTTTTTTTATGCTCCTTCTGCCCTGTTTCCAATAAGTTGATAGTTGAATCTAGACATTTGAAACAAAACTGGTTTTGTATGGCACTCATCAGTTTTTGTAGGGCTTTCACTTAGCTTGTGAACCTTTTCCTGTGCCAGTTAAGTATTTTTCATAATTTCATTTAAGCAGTTCCAAATTGGAAAGATCTGCATCACGTAAGCTTTAGCCTCCAAGGTTCACAAAAGAAGAAATCCTCGGCCATGACCCGTCCAACCTGCACACAGCCAGAGGGGCCCCAGGTGCCTTGCAGAGCACTGGCTGCTCATCTACGTGTCTAATCGCAAACTGAAAACTACAGGTCTGCTCATGCTTGCTTTAGCTTTATTTCTCTCCTTTAATTTTGACTGTGACCTTGGACTCAACTGGAGCTTCTGTCCTCGTATCGCACCTCAAGAGCTGCCCGATTCTGGCCTGTGAGCCTTGTCAGGAAAGAGTTTGTGTTGTGGGTCTTGAGTAGAGAAACTGTTCTGGGCTCTTCTTGGACCTAATTTTGCTTGATTGTAAACAGATAGCTCTGCTGGCGTAAGCCACTGCGGGCCCTTGTGGTAAGGAAGTGAGGCCGCCCTGGGGATTAGCAGGAGCTCCAGGGAAACAGCTTGGCTGTGTGAGGGCAGGGCCTTCCAGGGACGTCCCCTGGGCCCTCCCTACCGGTCTTTGATTTTCCCCCATCACCAGTTTCCTCTTTCCTTTCCCCCCAACCCCCATAGGTAGATTTCTCCAGTCCTGACACCAAACATGGTGTCAGCTCCTAGAGACACACAGATGCGCTTCCCCAGGCTTTGATTTCCTGGGGAGGGGCTGGATTCAGCTGGAGGCAGGTGTCCATGTCTGGCCCACCCCACTGGGAGGGGAAAGCGGTGGAGGATGATGCCACGTGGCTCAGTGTGGCAGAACCCACGGTGATCGTCAGCAGTGCTGAAGCCTGGCTGAGCGGGACAGCTGCTCATGCCTGAGCTCACACACAGTGGCCTCGTGCCACAGAGCTGCCATGCCATGGTTGTTATTGAATGAATGAAGCTCGGTGTCTAGTTTTTGTTTTCCTGTAGTAGGGGAGGCGTGCGTGTAACCTGGACAGGTCGTAAGTATACTTGGGCAAGGACTGACAATCGCAGACACCCAGGTCGCCAGGGGCCCCTCCTCTAGACACTCCTCTCACGCCCGGTGGCATCGAATCTCCTTTCCCAGAAATAGCCCTTGTGGTTTTTACCCTTGTAGACCAGTCTCGCTGGTCTTGACCTTCAAACAAAATGGAAACATGTTGTGTCAACATTTAGACTTACATGTTTTAGTTTAAGGCTACAAAGTCTAATTCAGCACTGGCCGACAGCCAGAATCGGAGTTGCTGTTAGAAACATGAGGATGTGACCGACCGGGGAGGAGAAGATGCCCAGGAGCGTGTGGCTGCCCTGGGAGGGCAGCACTTGTCCCAGGACCTGGAGGAGATGGGGGTCGGAGGTGGGGGGGTGGGGGGCTTCCAGGAGGTTCTGGTGCGGGTGGACAGCAGGGGTCACAGAGTTCCTGCTTGCTCTCTGTGGCGATAAAGCCCAATGTTACACTTCAGGGTGAGGGTCATTTGTCAACCACCTGCCTGTGTCAGGGGGCTTCCTCTCCCTGCATGTGTCCAGATGAGTGTGAGACAGGGGTGGTGTGGCAGTGGCGGGCTTCGCTAAGTCTCCTCTCTCCTGGTTCCAGAAGCTGTTTCTCTCCACATAGATCTACTACTCTCCTCATTTGGCTCAGACAGCCAAGCACCCAAGGTTCCATGGTTCCTTTTATCAAGAAAAGGCAGTAGTTTCGGGTTTCTTTTGCATATCATTTACAGAAAGCATTTCCCATATTGTTGAAATCGTTTGCATGCCAGGCTCCTAGGTATTACATAAGCTGCCATTGTGGTCATGCTGGATGTAACTATGTTTAATTGTGTGTGTGTGTGTAACATATATCATATACATTGCCCATGAAATAATGTCACACAGTTATTTGGGAAATAATACTGATGATAAAATAAGTTTTCTTCGAGCAAAACAGAGTCAAAATTACTGAAGACCAACCACCCTTACTTCTTTCTTCTACAGAACCATCCGAGTATGGCTGAAAAGAGACAGTGGCCAGTACTGGCCCAGCATCTTCCACACAATGGCCTGTAAGTAGCCCGCTGGTTCCCCTTGGGAAATGCCTTGAATGCCTTTGGTTATTTAAATCTCAAAGTATCTCAGAACATTTAAAGTGCCACTGGAATTCAGAAGGAGTTTCTTCATTGCCTAATATATCTGACGACTGTTATAAACTACAGGAAAACTTTACTTTTGCAGAGGAAGTTGGGTTACTGGCTTAACTGAAGCCAACTTGAGCAAAACTGGGGGAGGAAAAGCAAACTCTTTTCCTCCCAAACGCTTTTCCTCCCCCAGGACCCTTTTCCTCATTTTGCCCATGTCGTGGGTAGTGACTTCACCCTCAACGACAGCTGATAGTGACCCCTGGTGCCCCCGAAGCTGCCTTTTGCCCCCATTTTCACAAACCTTTGGGCGCTCTTGGGAGATTCCAACTGAGGAGTAACACGTTTGAAATAGACAGTTTTCTAAGTGGTCACGTATGTTCTAAAAATAGATCTGAAGATAAAATATATCTCACTTTTACGGTGAGAATTTAATATAGCCTGAGAGATAGTGAGGAAAAGTCACCTTTAAACTCTGGTTCTTCAGGCAGTTCTCAGCAGCGTTTCTTCATCCCTCCTTGGAAGGAGCAGTGCAGCTGGAGATGTGTGGCACCCCCAGGCCCGAGGGGTGAGCCTGGCCTCTGGAAGCATGGAAGGCGGCCTTCCACAGCCATGAGTCCCTTTGTGGTGCTGGTCCTGAAGGAGGGACCTAGTGGAGAGTTTCAGTATTTGGCGGGCCCTGTGGCTAGAGAGAAGGTCTTGGGTCATGCTTGAGGGGTGTTGCCAAAGAGCTTAATAAAGTTTTCCAAAAATAGAGCTCTACATACTTGTTCCAGACACTGCTGTCAGCTTCTCCAGGAGTTAATGCAGAGGCCTGCAGACCCTCTTTCCTCAGTGGCGCCGTGTAACCGGCCAGCCGAGCTTCCAGGCTGTGGCCTGCCTGTGCCCCGTGGGGCCCGTGGCTACCTTGAGGACTTACCACTGTGGAGCTGGGCTTCCCTGCACTGCCTCTGCTGATCACCGGGCTGGCTGACTGCTCTGCTCTCATGGTGGTTCAGTGCAAGCCAAGGGGGTCTTTGGGAACACACCAGCGTAAAGACAGCTACCATTAAACAAGGAGCCCTAACACTAGACAACAGGGAGCCTGTTAGATAACGGCCAGAAGGCCTAGTCACACTTCCTGTGCCAAGCTGGAGCATCTTGCCCGGACTGTGTACTGTGATGCGCACTTTGGATTCTCTCTCTGACTGACGTCTTGTGGAACCCTTTTGGGAAATTTACTTGAGGAGCTTTGTGGACCAGAGCAGAGGTGGGTGGGACACCCTGAGGCCCCGAGCCTACCCCCTGCCCACCAAAATAGGGCTTGTCTTAGATTGGGAACACCTTCCTTCCAGAGACTGGTGCGAGAGGGCAGCAGGCCCAGGAACTCCTGTGGCTAGTTTCTGTGTGGGCAGTCTTGTTTTCCTCCCACCCTCCCTTCTCCCACAATTTACATTTTGGCCACAGCTTACTCTCCCTGAGGTGGTGACCTTGGGGTTCCTGCTCATTAGGACAGAGCAGCAGAGATGGACATTCTTCTAGATTTAGTTTGATGACCCCTTTGTTTCCACCAGTATTAAGTGTAGTTCATAATTAATTTCTCTTCCAGGGCATCTGAACCCAGCAGAAATGCACACTCTTCTCTTGCTCGACTTTTCCATCTTGGGCACGTGACTCTGGTGCTGGTGGCAGTTGCTGTCCTTGCTAACGTGGCTGCACTGTGCCCTGGAGCAGCCCCAGAGGCTCTGGGCAGAAAGACAGTGCAAGCTGGAGAGAACCACAGAGTTGCCCTGCCTGGCACCCAGCACAGTATGTGTGTGCCTTACCCAAAGCTTGCAGCTTCCAGAGGCTTCTTTATTGCCTCTGTCTAGAACTGTGTCTGCTGCTAAATCTGCAAGAACTCTGCTAGGACGAAACAGAACGAGTCAGTTAGGAGAAATAACTACTTGTCTGTTTTAGGATGACTTTTAAAGTTAAATTCAAAATACGAGAAAAAAAGTGCCATCTTGGGTCTAAGAATTACCTGCACACTTGCTGACGCAGCATGTCTTCGCTAGTGGTCATCCCCAATGACAGCACTTACCAGTGGTCTGACAAGAATGATCAGTAAGTCAGACCTTAGTATGTTGCTCTGTGGAGCTCAGTGATGTTTTATAAAATCACCGCGTACCAAAAGCAACTCTAGGAATGTGCTAGCCAGGCTGAAATTTAACTTAGTTTCTGCTTCTGGTCTGTGCCTCCTGCCTTTTCCCCCCCTTTTGGTAATACCATCTTATGCAATCACAGCATCTGTGCAAGGTGGCTGCTGTTTCACCATTCAGTAGACGAGGAAATTGGGGTTAATTGATTACTGGCGGTTGGAATAACATCCCACGCCCATCTGACTCCACAACTCAGCTGCCCACCATGGTACTGGTTGGGTCCAGCAACATTCCCTGACCGTGGGCCAGTCTCTGTGACAGCTGCTCCGCCTTGAAAGCACAACAGTAACCAAACAGTGCACACACCCCAGAGCCTGACTGACTGTGCTTCAGACAAGCCGGGAAGTTCTCTACCAAGCCAGAGATTCCGGAATAGGCCCTCGCTCGGGCTGCGGCCACGCTGTGCTCCAGGCTCTGCTTTGAAAGACGATTTGGAGTTTTGCATTTTTAAAATAAAATTATGTGAATGCTCAGTTCTTTCTCTCTCTCTTTTTTTCCTTCAATTGCTTATTTTACTAGAAGCTTCCTTTCTAGGAAGAAAGCCAGAATATCTTTACATACAAAACAAACTAACTTGGGAGGAAAGCTTTTTTCCTTTTAAGTGTAGGATTTCTCTAGCCTCCTAAAATCACTCAGCATGTTGCAATTTTTGCACAAAAGAAGGATGTTTACATATTTACACAGTTAGAGAGTTAGGCAAAAAGAGAATGACGAAACCAGAGCTTTAAGATTCAATGCCAACTGAAAAGTGAGCTATAATGGTGACCTTTGCTGGTGATGTCTTTGACATCACCCAGGCCTGATTGGATGTGGCCGAGGTAGCCTAATGAGTATTTCCTCAGAGCACTTTGTGTGGAGATGCCTCTCTCTTGGTGGTGATAACACCGAGACAATCACGGTCTCACTGTTGTCTCAAGGGTCAGTGTGGTGGCTTGGGGACCAGCTTGTGCTCGGCTCCAGCTGTGTCACCCAGACAGCAGCAGCCCTGCCCTTTCCCTCAGTGGCTCTCTGAATGCAGCGGAAACATCTCTCCCACTCGGTTTATCACATAGAAGCTGTGTTTTTGCCTTTGGGTACCGAAGACCTTTGGTAACCGTTTTTTCTTCCTTTGAGGGGGCAGTATCAGCCCATGACAGAGAGAAGTGCCAGCTGCTTCCGAATGGGTGACGTCGTTTATAAGACTCTCCTACTTTTGCTATAAGGCGTTTTGTTTTAATATAAACTCGAGTTTGCTTGCTTATTTGTTTTCCTGGCGTCTTCCTGCTGGGAGTCCTCCATGAGTAAGATTCTTCAGGCTGACGTGAGCCCAGTATTTCTTGTTCCAGATGCCCCATTTTCTAACCCCCTTTAATTCTGTTTTTTAGCAGAAGGAAACTGCTTCGGCTCCTTGTGAGGCTCCTTGTGAGGCTCATCCTTTCAGGAGGGTAGGTGGAGCTGCAGGGGCGTATGCCTGAGAAAAAGCAGGTGCTGCTCCAGTCACGTGTCTCTGCAGTGCACAGAGAGCCACGTCTATACCACACGACTCAGGTTACTGTAGACTGGGTTGTGTGTGTGTGGTTCATTGCAACATTTGTTGACTATCCCAAAGAAAGTGATTTTCCTAGCTGCTCACGTATGTCAGGGAGTTCTGATGCTGGGAACCCGCTCCCCCTCCCCAGGAGAGGCAGCTTCTTTTTCCCTGTGATGGGACTGGAGGCAGGGCGGCACTGAGTGTTCAGGTAGCAGACCTGTCCCATGGGAAGCTCTGGCCTCTGGGCCCGTCCAGCTACGGGCAGGGGTTTCCGTCAGGTGAAGCACCACCCAGAGCTACAGAAATCATTTAGAAGGCTTTTAAAATTAGAAAAGTTAACTAAAGCAGAAGGAACTTGAATAACATTTTCAGTTTTTATCATTATACTCTTTTTAAACCTGAATTGTCTTGCTTTCCCTGACAGCGTGCTTGGATCACTGATGTAAATGCTGAGCCTCGCTTTGTAATGTGGTCTTTGTCTCTCTGGCAGCTCCCTGCTCCGCTATGACCTACCATCACGACAGCAGGCGGATATTTGTGGGCCAGGATAACGGCGCCGTGATGGTAGGTAGCATCCGTGCTCACTCTGTTAGCTCAGCTAATATTAGCGATAAGTGTCAGGGTTATTGGGCGTAAACACTTGCTTAATCCAGTGTAGGACTTTGGCCCCACAGTGGGTTAGTTTTGGTCAATGCTTAATTTCAAACTAAACTAGTCCCACAGAGCTCAGAATGCCATTGTGATTGATGGTTTACAGAGCTTTAGTGCCTGGGGCAAGGAGAGCCTGGTGGGCTCTGTGTGTGTGTGTGTGTGTGTGTGTGTGAGAGAGAGAGAGAGAGAGAGAGAGAGAGAGAGAGAAAGAGAGAGAGAGAGAGAGAGGAAGGAGCAGGAGGAAGAAC